ACAGATTGCAGTAGCCAAGATTGGTGATAAAATAAAGTAATATTATATAGTCTTTTCTAGTTTAAAAACTTAGTACAAAATAGTTTCTATATTTGTTTATAGATATATTTATTAATTCAAAGTAAGATTTTAATAATAATTTGAAAAGTTAGCTTATATAGAATATCAAAGTTTTGACTTTAAGAGTAATATTTAAAATAGACTCATTTGGTTTTAATAAGATATTTTTGAAAACTGTATAATTTTGAATTTTATTTATGAGTTCATGAGTTTGATTACTAGATAAGTCTAGTACTAAGTTATAAAGAAGTTTAGAAATTGAATTTAAAATAATATTAAAAAAGTAGTAAAGCTAAAAAAACTCTTTAATATAAAATTGAGTTTAGGTTATTACAAAAAATAGTTAAAGTTGTTAAAAGTATTAAAGTATCTAGTATAGTAAAGAAAAGAAGTAGGTAGTTCATTAAATAATATTTTAATTTTAAAAGATTTTTTTTTTAAAGTGACTACTTTGGGGTCTGGCATGGTTTATTAACTTCTTAGTTCAATTATTGAAATGCCAAATAGGCACCCTTTGACTTTGTTATATCAACAAGAGTACAATTGGTCATATGTACAACTTTAGTCATTGCCTATTTAAGGGCTCTGCTATATCTATTTTTATCTATATCAATTACAAATCTATATGTATAAAAATTAAATTAAGATTGTATGAAATTGGTAGCTTAAAATTGTTTGAGTTTAGCTATAGATTCTCTAGATTTAAAAATCTGAAGTGCTATAGAATAATTGATAAAAATTAAAGATAATATTAGAATTTGATCAGGATGTTAACTGCTATAGAATAAATAAGATCTATATAATCAGTATAGAAGTTAAGATTATTAAAAAAAATATTTCTAAAGAATTGTATAGAAATAATAATTAAGATATTAATAGAACAGTAGTTACTAATTCTGTTAAAATTTAAATAAAAGCCTGAACATAGTGAATATACGTTATTCTGAATATATCAACAATTTTTTTTCATTAGTAAAACAATTCAAAATGTCGATATAGTGAGTTATACTGACATTTTATATTAAATTTAAAAAAAAATATCAATATAGAAAGATTTTATTATGATGTCATTATATCCAGATATCGGTATAACTAGAGTAACGTGTATTGAATAGTTTGAAGGAGTAAAGTTAATAGTAACTAGTATTGAAATTAGTTTTCTAGTAAATAATCAAAATCAGATTATTAGAGAAATATTTATAAACTTTGCTAACAATAAGATTATTATTGCTATAGCTAAGTAGCCAGAGTTAAGACTTTTTAAAATATATATATTGTATACAAAGATATTAACTCCTGCTTGTTGGTATTGAGATAGAAAGATGTGGTAGTAGTTATAAGATATTACTTTATCTTCTAAATATATAAACTTGTTGCTTGTTTTTTAGAGATAGAGCAATCTGGTAAAAGTATTTCTATTCTAAAAGAACAGAGTTGTTAGCTAAACAAAGTTGTTTAAGATAGTGCAAGTTAAGTTATTTGAGTTGTTTTTTAATAAGGTTGTATTTAGGATATTTTTAAGAATTAGTTCTAAAGGTTGTAAGTTGTATTGAATAGTATGAGACTATAGAAAATTAGAATTTGCTATAAATGATATATTCAAATAAATAAAGAGTTAAATAATATGAAAATTAAGAGTATTTTTGTTTAGCCTATTTATAATTGGCTATGGGTGTTAAAGTATATTTATTAACAAAATTTTTAAGCAAATTTATATAGATATATAGCAGTTAATCAATATATGGGGGGTGCTAGTAGAAACCAAGCAATTTGTTTTTAGTGAGTTTTTTTTAAATTTTAAATTAAAATATCTCAACAACTATTAAACCAAACTTGATAAATTTTTTTTTATTTTAATTCTATAACTATATAGAATTAAAATAAAAAATTTTTATCAAGTTTGGTTTAATAATTGTTGAGATATTTTAGTTTAAAGTCCAAAAAAATTTTACTTAGAAACAAATTGCTTGGTTTTTACTGGCACCCCCATATATTGATTAAAGATTAATGATATATATTAATTAACTGCTACATATTGATATATATTACTAATAATAAATATGATTATTGATATATAATAATTATAATCACTATTGGTTAATAACGATTTTATAAAATTTAACTAATTTTTTTAAACTTTAATATTAAATTTCTTGATAATTATCAATTAAAATCAGCTTAAATTTTTATAACATATAGTATATATATTCAACTATAATATAGTTGAATATATATATTATATGTAAAAAAAAATTTAAGCTGATTTGGATTGATAGTTATTGAGAAAATTAATATTAAAGTTTAAATTAATTTAATAAATTTTTTGTTATATATTGTTTGTAATTACTAATGATAATACTCTACAGGGGTTGTATATTGATTGTAATCTAGAAGATTACTATCAATATATAGCATCTTTAAAATTTTGCTGATGTTGATAGTTGACCATAAGTTGTTCTATAGTTGTTGTATACAGATATGAGTAGAAATGCCTAGTAAATACTAGTTTTTAATTCTTTGTAAAAAGCTGGTAATATAAAATTTAAGTTGAATATCCTAGATATTTTTAATATTATATAGATATAGATTGAGTATAGTGCTGTTTGAAATAAATCAAGCAAAATAGAATTGTGTATTTAGTAACTATAAGATATTTAGAAAGTATCTGATTATATGTAGAATATGAAAGTATAATATTATATAGTCTATATTTTAAAGTAAAAATAATTACAGTATTGATAATATAAGCAATCGGTTTATCAGTAATTTTAGTACTAGCTATATTAATTAATTAGAATACTTTATTTTTTATAAGTTGGTTTATTGAGATTGCTTGTTGTTAAGTGTTTACTAGTAGCCTAGAAACTTAAATAGCTAATTACAAGATGTTGAGTTAAGTAAGAAGTTACAAAATAGGATAGAGTTTCTGGGTTGGTTGCAAATAAATACTGATTTAGTGAGGTTGATTTGAATATTTGCTATTTGATAAAATAATATTGCTGCTTGAATAATTGACTCAAGTTCTTCTTTAGATTGAGCAATTCAAAGTATGTCATCTATATATACTGTATTTGTAAAATTTAAATAAAAAATTAATAATTACAGTCAAACCCCTCTATAGTCACCTCCTCTATAGTCACAAAATTGGTATAATTACAAATTTATTTTTACCAATTATTTATAACTATATAGGAAATACCTCTATATTAGTCACACCTCTTTACAATCGCGGTTTTTTGTATCCCGAAGGAGTGACTATAGAGAGGTTTGACTGTAATTACTAAGATATTTTTGATCAAAGATTTAAAATTTGTAAATAAAAAATTATTTATTACTACAGTATATTACTTTTAAAATCACATTTTAATTATTTTATATTATGTGATTGTATAGAGGTAATTTAATTAATTCTATTTAATCACCCTTCCATATAATCATCAAGTAAATAGGTGATCATATGGAGGTATGACTGTATTTAAGATTTACATTGATATTAAATTTTGTTACATGATTAATTAAATTCGTTTATTATGATCATCACTACCAACCATATTTATAAATATTCATTAATCAATATTTAAATAATATGGGCTATCCGGATGTGCTAAACGAGTATCCGGAATATTCGGATTATCCGGATACAAGCACTACCATTTACGGGGAAAACACTAAAAAGCTTAAGGAATTATTTGTAGAGATTCTGTAAATAAGGATCATTAGTGTATTTGTTTATTATTAGAATATTATCATTCCACCTGCGATATTAATCACAAAATTTGAAAATAAATCAATTTATAAATTGAAAGGATGCAGGACTTAAAATTTATATAGTACGTACTTATAAATGATCTATTCGCATCAAATCTGCGCTACTAGAGTAATTTAAGAAAGTTATGATTTTAACATTATTAGTTTACGAAAATGGTTTTACCTTTTTTGTTTTAGATTGTACCTTTTCGATGAATAAGAGTAAATCTGGAAAAAAAAAAAAAAAAGGATTCATTATTTTATAGGACTTATCGAGGACCACAAAGCAATGCATTTTTTGGATATTCGTCAAGTAATTACAAATTTGGATGTCATAAATGATTTGTACCACAGTAAATTTATGCGTTTTTATAATTTTTTTATAATTTTTTACTATTAACTGGAACTTATATGGAATAGTCGTGGAAGAAAAATTTTGCGATCATATGAATCTAGCCACTAAGTTTACAAGATTAATATTTCGAATATTCTGTTCTAATTTCAGAATTTAACTGGATGTAAGACATGTAATCTAGAAATTTTTCTATTGTTATATTCTCGTAATGATTTAACAAAACCTATTATGTTTCTAAGGGATTGATATTTCTATACCTATGTCGAATCTTTTGTGGTTGTTTTTTAACCAATAAACTTTCATGATCTGTGCATAAATGCTAAAAAAATACATTTCTCATATTTAAAAATATCCATTTGTGCTCTGTTCGTGAAATTTGCCATAGTTTTCATACGATCATAAAGTATTATATCTTATTAAGTGCAGGTAAATTTCTCGGAAATAGTGACCACATTGGATGTGGCAGGGTCCAGCATAGGGCGCGGAAATATCATTTTCTTATTTCCGTACTAAAATTCGAGTTTCGGTTCATTTAAAGAAAAATCAATTTGCAATAAATTATCGTAATCCACGATGCAAAATTGAGTTATATAAATTTATGTACTGTATAAAGTCTATTTTATTTATGAAATATTTTTACCAATATTAAGAACAACTAAACTTCTATTATATTTTTCAGCAAATTAAATGGATGAAATTACAAAAGAATAGCATACAGTAACTGGTGATAAATGGATAAAATTACGAGAATAAGAAAGAACGTATAGTAACTGGTGATAAATTATTCTTGAATTATGAAAGCAAAAATAAAATTTTTGAATTTTTTATTTCTGGTACATTATTTGGATTTTCTAATTTTTCTACCTCTTCTTTTATTATTTTTTTTTTGCGAAAAGTCTTTAAAGTTTGGAGAGATTTGTTTATTCTTAAGTTTCAGTGTGAACTTTCTCAATGTAGTAAGCTCATCTGGAACAAAGGGTGGCTTTTTGTTTTCGGGACTTTTAATAGGATCTTGTTTAAAGTGTAATCCATTAAGTTCAAAATGCCTAGGAGCTTTTTTACAGATTTGGGATCTTAGACCGTCTTTCGGTGTGTTTTTTTCGGATTGAGCTATGTTTTTAGCAATCTTAATAAGCTGTGATTTTTTTTTACCACCTTAAAGTCAACAATTATTGTAAATTAATACACTCGTTTAAGGGAAAGAAACTCTAAAAGATAAATTCTAATTATCGTACGTACCTAAAAAATATGCAACATCGATCATTTGGTCACAATAATCTTGAATACCGCAGGGAGGAGCCTTAACCAATAAAGCATCATTACACCCTCCCGAAATATCATCTAGATGTCCGTTAATGTCTCCATCACCGGAGTCAAAGTTAAACAAGCTTTCTATAGCTTTGTTATGTTCTTGACCAAATCTTGCATCAACGATAGCAAATAATAAAGCCAAAGCAATTATGATGGTGGAATATTTCATCGTTTTAAGCCGAAATCCGAAATAAGGAATTTTTTTTTTTTTTTTAGAAAAATGGAAAGCGGGTAAGTTTTTGTTGGTACCGTTACTTGCTCTTTATATAGAGAATTCCACCTAATACTTTTGAAAATAACGATTAAACGAGACGTTAATTAAATATTATTTAATGTGACACATTTATATTTATTTCAACGATTTTTATTGAGAAAGATCAAATTAAAATTTTTACGAATCATAAAGTTGCGAAATTTTACTAATTTGTCTAAAGTATAACTATTTTTATTCTTCTTGAATAATTCCTATACTTATGTGATTAGTATGTTTATCAAACTAACAAAAATTATTTTTGTAAAAATCCTAACTTACCATATTAGTTAAAGCCTTTACGGTCAATGATAGGTTAAAATCCAACTTCATTTCTATAAAGTGTAAGATATTATGGAAAATAATAAATGGATTAAAAAATAGTTTCTGTACTAGAGATCAGCCTTTTAGGGAATCCTTTGTTTTTTTGAGACCAATAAACCTGAATTTTTATATTATACTTATTTCATTAGTCAAAATTCGGAATTATACTATATGAATTCTGTCATGTATTAAATTTTACGGCACATATAATTGCATATCGGTGGATCTGTACTAGTGTTGCCACCAAAATTACGTAATATTAATTGTCACGAGGGATAACTACCGGTACATAGTAAATTTTTTTTTAATTTTGTTAATTCACATACAATAAATATATAATAAACATATAATAAATATATAATAAATATATAATAAATATATAATAAATATATAATAAATATAAGATATAGTAATTAATCATACGTAATTTTGTATATGATATGTATAATTCTGGACAAATATGTCGATCATTGGTTAAATTTTAAATTATTTTGGTATTGAACCCAGACCAATTTATATATATGACGTAAATAATATTTTGGCCTGGATTCAAAAATAATTACCCATATTCCAATATTTTATTTCGTAATATTTCTTTATTAATTTTCCTTTTAATTAATAAATTAATTAATTTTTATTTTTAGCGCCTATTGCTAAGCTAGAAATCATCATCTTTTTTAGTAATAGTAAGAGAGTGCACTCTTTTTCTAATAAACTAATCGACATAATAAAAGTCACTTGCACAACATTTGCTTTGTAATTTTTATGTTTACGATTCTTGTTAAACCTGGTCGCTATCGTAACATCGGAATATAAGACAGGTTAGCTTTGTTGATTTTTCTATTTTATTTAAAAAATTGTTAAACATTCGTATGTACGTACGTACGTACGTACATACGTGTGAAAATTATCATTTATACAGTCGTACCTCCATACAATCGCCTCCTATAATCACAAACTCTATATATTAAAAACACTTCTATATAATCACAGCCATAGTACTATCACTATTACATTTTTTAAAAAAATTTTTGTACTAATTTATTAATAAAATCACAAATTAGCAAAAGTCATTTATTTAAATTTTAAAATTTATAGAATTTACATCAAAAAATTTTTATTAAATGTTTATTAAGTGGTTGCTAGGATATTAATCAAACTTTTTAAAAAAAATCAAATTGTCTATCAAATAGAAGTTATGTCAAAATTTTTACAAAACTCGATAACTGCGAAGTAGATTAGTGGTGTCGAATGGCGGTGTCGATCACGTGATGATCGACAAATAATTCTAAGCTGCGATTTGCTATT